GATTTCTTCTTTGCCCCATAGGTTATTTAAAAGTTTGCTGTTCACGGGGCGCCTGGGTGGCGCAGTCGGTTAAGCGTCCGACTTCAGCCAGGTCACGATCTCGCGGTCCGTGAGTTCGAGCCCCGCGTCGGGCTCTGGGCTGATGGCTCGGAGCCTGGAGCCTGTTTCTGATTCTGTGTCTCCCTCTCTCTCTGCCTCTCCCCCGTTCATGCTCTGTCTCTCTCTGTCCCAAAAAAAATAAATAAACGTTAAAAAATAAATAAATAAATAAATAAATAAATAAATAAATAAAAGTTTGCTGTTCGATCTCCAAATATTTTTGGGTTTTCCAGCAATGTGTTACTGACTTACAGCACAATTCTGTTGAGGTCTAAGAGGAAAGATGATATTGTTTCTACCTTTTAGATTTGTAAGGGTCCAGAACATGATCCATCTTAGTGAATATACTATGCAAGCTTGAAAAGAATATGTATTCTCCTGAAGTTGGATGAAGTATTCTGTAAATGTCAATTAGGTCTAGTTGATTGTGTGTGCCATTCAGTTTTAATATAGTCTAGCAAAATTCTTAAGAAAGAAATAAAGTACAAATAAGAATAATAGGAATAAAAGGAATGAGATTAGGAGTGGAAAGAATGAAAGGAATACAAGGTATAAAGTAGAGTCAGAGATAGCGTTAAACGCGTTTTCAAGACAAACTATGGTATTTGCATGTAAGAAAATACTATAAAGGGTTAAAAAGTGTAGCTAAATAATAATGCATCAAATAGGCAAATCTGGATAAAAGCAGAGTGCAGAAAAATATCTAGATGATAGTTTTTATGTAAGTGTTAAAAATACTCAAAACAATGTAACATGTATTTTGGATACAAAAAAATGTACAAAAACAGTATAAAACATGAAAACGACGTGCACCAACAACAGAATTATGGCTATTATTTTAGGTGGAGACCAGCATTTATATTGATTGCAAGGCACAGAGATACTTTTTCTTTCCTCACTGTGCTGGCTAGAACCTGCCATATAAGGTTGAATAAAAATGTGGAAAGAAGACATCCTTGTCTTATTGTTGTTTTTAGGGACAAAACATCCAGTCCTTTATCATGACAAGTACCGTGAATTTGATGTTTCTATCTTTTCATTTCTGCCTTGAAAACTCTTTATTTCTGGGCTGAGGAAAAGCAATTTTGGAAGTTTTAGTAACACTAAACTAAGACATGTGATTATAGTAGATATTAATGTTCTTGGTACTCAAGATTCAACTATTTTATTGCAGACTTTTAAAATAAGAAGAGTTTTTAATTTAACATTTTCTTATTAATAAACAAAATTGGCTCAAGCAGTACAAATTGCTATTGGAACTCTCTTTTTTTTTGGCAATTTTGTGGGTAGGCTTCAGGGTATATAAAGTATATTTCTATGTAAAGTATATTTTATAAATCTATTTATTCACTGTGAGTGTGTGTGTGTGTGTGTGTGTGTGTGTGTTTATAGCAATGTCACAAATGCTGGAGGAAATACCTTCCCTATATATTCTTAATTTCTTCTCAATAGTTAGTATTTTATGGCCAAAAAATACTATTATGGTGATTTTTACAAATACGATGTTTTTTAATAACACAAAAGTAATACACCCTCATTATAAAAAATGTTTTGGAGATCCAGAAAAGTACAAAGAAAATAAAAATTACTGCTTTGAGGAGGGCACTTGTTGGGATGAGCACTGGGTATTGTATGGAAGCCGATTGGACAATAAATTATATTCATAAAAAATTACTGCTGAATTTATATCTTACCAAAATATTTTAAAAATATTTTGATGTACATGTTGCATAATTACACATACTAACACATAATTATGTACATGAAAAGACACATACACACATACTTTTTAATTTAGTATTGTGCCGAATAGAAAACTTTAGATATTAACTCCTGCTTCCAGTTACGACAAAGCAGCTTGTGTCACTCACACAAACCCTCCTGTTATGAGCTACCATAAAAATTGAGAAAGGAAACTAACAGCTGTTTGAAGAAATTCGGGAGCAACCAGGAAAGCCAGGATTTGAGAGACCAGACTGAAGTAGAGAGAGGGAGGAGGGTAGGAAACACAGAAAAGAGGATGAAGGCCTAACACACATGTAATTGGAGTCCTGGTAGGAGCAAAGAGAGAGAATGGACAGAATGGTAACTGGAAGAATGAATGCTGATGGGTTTCCAAAACTGAAAATAAAAACTAAAAACTAAAAAAAAAGATCAAGTCACAGATGCAGACGCTTTACAAATCCAAACCTGCATAAATGGAAAGAAACCCACTCCTACCCATCTCAGTTTGCCTTCCAAAGGACAAAATCAAAGGCAATTTAAGGACAGTTATGGAAAAAAGGCAAAGTACCTTAAAGAGCTACAGTAAGACAGGAAACCACTTTTCCAATAGAAACAATGGAGTCAAAAAGACAGTGTCATCAAAACGACTCAAATGAAAAACCTGAAAATCTAGAATTTCATATCCAATTTTTATTTCAGCTTTTTAAATAAAAACATGTAGAACTAATGAGTTAATGAGATGTGGGAAATCGAATAATAAAATGATTCATTTTAATCTAAAAGAACATAAGAAAGGGGAAAAAAAAGATGAAAACAAGATAAGGGAAACAGAGAACAAAGAATAACATAGCAGGTCAAGCCGAATATTGCCTGTGACTACATTAAAGACATTATGAACTAAAGATTCCATTCAAAGACAAATATTGTCAGACTGGATCAAAAAAACCTTTGTTATGTTTGTGTAGGACACATTAAAAAATTTGCTTAATGTCTATTTATTTTTGAGAGAGAGAGAGAGAGAGACAGAGCACAGCAGGAAATGGGCAGAGAGAGAGAGAGGGAGACACAGACTCTGAAGCAGGCTCCAGGCTCTGAGCTGTCAGCACAGAGCCCGACGCAGGGCTCGAACCCACAAACCATGAGATCCTGACCCGAACAGAAGTCGGCCGCTTAATCGACTGAGCCACCCAGGCATCCCCTATATGGGACACATTTTACACATTAGGACATAGAGAGTTTAAAATTTAAAAAAATTAAGAAAATATATTCTTTGATAATACTAAGAAGTAGCTGCAATAATACCAAACAAAGGAGAATACCTACAAGTAGTAACCCAGTTAAAGAAGGATATTTTGTAATGATAAAAGAGTCCATGCCACTGGAAAAGATAACAATCTGAAATTGATGTGCGCTTAACAGAATGGAATCAAATTATGTAGTAAAAAATTCACAAAATTAGAGAAACCTATATTCATCGACTGGGTATTTTTTTAAACAATATCTGTCTGTAACTGATAAAGCAATCAGATAAAGATGCCAATAGAGAGAGACGATTTAAGGAACATAATAATAAACTTGACTAGTTGACATACCTAGAGTTTGGCACCCAAGAAATGCAGAGCACACATCATTTTCAAGTATACAGGAAAGACTTAGGACAAACAACCATATACTGGGCCATGTTTCAACAAATACTAATGAACTGAAATCACATTGAGAATGTACACTGTCCACAGTGTAATTAAGCCAGAAATCAATAACTAAAAGAACTGGAAAATCTCCAAATATTTGAAAACTAAGCAACTACACACACACACACACACACACACACACACACACACGCATACACATACATACATATGTATGAGTACATACTCATACATGAGTATGTATGTATGTATACATACTCATGTATATCTGTGTATTACATATGTTTTATATATATATCATGTATAACCTTTTTTGTTTCACTTAACAGTAGATGGTGTTTTCTCACATATTTTTAGCTCATGGACATAGCCTGAATTTCCTGTCATCTTCTTCACAAAGTGTGAAACTGCAGGGAGCTTAATTACACAGAGCCTAGTAAAAAGAGAATGAGTGGGTAAATAAAGCGTTTGTATTCCTGCACCCAGAGATTCTTCCACCGGCTACTCCCAGCCTCCTCCTCAGTATCTTAGCCTCTCCTCTAAAACTGCCTCATAAGAGACCCAAAAAATGCACTTTATTTGGACTTTTGCCTGCTTTTGTGGGAAGGAAACCTGTTTGAGGGAAGCAGGAGAGAATCCCGTGGTTTAATTTGCTGCTCTCCCAGAGGGAAGGTGGAAGAAGAAAACAGGAAGTGGAGAGAACCAATACGGAGTTGATTTCATCCTGTCCTCAGAGGTGGGGGTGCCTAGGGTGAGTTCCCCTTTCTGTAGAGGCTCTGAGAGAGAGGGAGATGGCAGTCCAGATCTGCCTTCATTCGGCCTCGCTCGGCCTCAGCGCTGTGAACGCGAGGGTGAGTTCTCTTCCCGGGAGAATCAGGAATGTGTGCTGGAGAATCAGGACAGTGTGTTGAACAACCGGCAACATTTTATGAAATACGCATGAAGAGTCGTGGTACGCTAATATATGTATATGCATAACATAGAGAGAGAGACTAAATAAAGTATCTCAAATCGTTGACCTTTATTTGCTATGAACGATCTTGCACCTGTGAAGGCCAGAGTATTAGAAAACGGGCGATTCGTTTTTTAAAATTGCATTCACTTCTCCCTTCTGTGTCGCGATGCAGTACAGATGTAACTTAAAATTTAAAATTGCATTAGCTCCTTTGGGGTATGGGGTTTTAAAAAGTAGAATGGGAGCCAGAACCGCATTGCTCTTTGAAAATAGACCCCTCACCGCCCCCCCCCCCCCCCCAGCTTTGTTTCTCTTTAATTCTTAGCAGGAGAGCTTTTCATTTATTAATGTAATTAATACGGAAGGGAAAAAAAAGGATTGCTGAGAAACGCGGCTCTCTACCCCACCGCCGGGGCGGGGGACGGTGGGGAGGCGGCCGGGTCAGCGGGGGCGCAGTCGCGGCTGCGCGGTCCCGGAGCTTGCAGGAGCGCGGGGGCTGCACCCGCGTAGACGCGCGCTGGCGCCCGGGGCCGAAGCGGGGAGGCGGACGCCGGGCGGGCGGGCTGGCTGGCGCCGCGGCAGTCGGCGGTCTCCCCACCTCCCGGCTCCGGGCAAAGGCGGCCCCTTCCCCGCTAGCTAGGTGACCTAGAGATTGCTACTGAGCTCACTCTTGGAGAGGACGCACGGAAGGTGGGAGACCCGCGTCGGCCAGGGGCGTCTTAAAGCGGAAGAGACAGGTTGGTATTTTTCCTACGAAGGGTCAGGACTCTTTTCTCTGTCGCACTTTGTTCGAGGTGTTCAACGGGTTACCATAGGATTTCAACAGGTGGCAGAGGGAGGTCACGTGGGGGCAGGTTGGGGCCGCCGCGGCGCCTCTCCCCTCCCCTCGGAACCGCACCTCTCGCTGTCGCTGCACGTCTATCAGCCTAACCCGGCCTCTCAATTCGGTTTTGCAGCCCCAGAGTCCGCGGCGACCGCGGGCGAAGAGGACGGCGGGGGACGCGCCTCCGCGGGGGGGGGGGGGGGTGGAGCCACAGGCGTCGGAGCGCGGTCCGCGCGGACGCGGCCCCGGGGGAGCCGCAGACCCGGCGGGGCGGCCGTGGAGGAGACGGGGTCGCCGGCTTCACTGCCCTCGCCGACATGCACAACGAGAGCTTCTCGGAGCCGGGGCCCGCCAACGCGTCGTGCCCGGGGCCCGCGCTGGGCTGCCCCAACGCGTCGAGCCTGCCGCCGCCGCTGCCGCCGCCGCTGGCCGTGGCCGTGCCCGTCGTCTACGCGGTGATCTGCGCGGTGGGGCTGGCTGGCAACTCCGCAGTGCTGTACGTGCTGCTGCGGGCGCCCCGCACGAAGACCGTCACCAACCTGTTCATCCTCAACCTGGCCATCGCCGACGAGCTCTTCACGCTGGTGCTGCCCGTCAACATCGCCGACTTCCTGCTGCAGCGGTGGCCCTTCGGGGAGCTCATGTGTAAGCTCATCGTGGCCATCGACCAGTACAACACGTTCTCCAGCCTCTACTTCCTCACGGTCATGAGCGCCGACCGCTACCTGGTGGTGCTGGCCACGGCCGAGTCGCGCCGGGTGGCCGGCCGCACGTACCGCGCGGCGCGCGCCGTGAGCCTGGCCGTGTGGGGGCTCGTGACGCTGGTCGTGCTGCCCTTCGCCGTCTTCGCCCGGCTCGACGACGAGCAGGGCCGGCGCCAGTGCGTGCTGGTCTTCCCGCAGCCCGAGGCCTTCTGGTGGCGGGCGAGCCGCCTCTACACGCTGGTGCTCGGCTTCGCCATCCCCGTGACCGCCATCTGCGTCCTCTACGGCGTCCTGCTGTGCAGGCTGCGCGCCATGCGGCTGGACAGCCACGCCAAGGCCCTGGACCGCGCGAAGAAGCGGGTGACGCTCTTGGTGGTGGTGATCCTGGCCGTGTGCCTCCTCTGCTGGACGCCCTACCACCTGAGCACCGTGGTGGCGCTCACCACCGACCTCCCGCAGACGCCGCTCGTCATCGCGGCCTCCTACTTCATCACCAGCCTGAGCTACGCCAACAGCTGCCTCAACCCCTTCCTCTACGCCTTCCTGGACGACAGCTTCCGCAGGAGCCTCCGCCAGCTGCTGGCCTGCCGCGCTGCCGCCTGACCCCCGCCGCGCTCCGCTCCGCTCCGCTCCGCGCGCGCCCTGCGCCCGGGTCCCGGCCGCGCCAGCCCCGGCGGGTGCGGAGGGAGCAGGCGCCCGCGGCGCTCGGAAACTTGCTGGAGACGCAGATTCCCTGAGGCTCCGGCTCAGACCTCGGGAATCCGACGCGCTAGGGCTGCGTCCGAATTTGAATTGGTGAAGCCCTCCCGAGGATGCGGGAGCACACTGAGTATAAGGACTGTTGCGGCCGAGGACGCACGCTCACTTCTCTCTAATGCCAAAGGACACCGAGTCGACCCCCCGAGTTTGACAGGGGAGGGGAGGAATGGGGAGGGGAAGGGGGCCGGTTATTGCTGGGAATCCTCTGCGCCGCCCCCCCTCTCTCCTGCCGCCCAAGGCGTTCGCAACCCAGGCTCTAGGTGGAGCCCTCGACTCTATCCCCGGGATTCGGGGGGTGGCGGTGGGGGTGGCGGGGACGGGGGCTGGAGGATGCCGCGGGCGCCCCCAGGCGTCGGCCCCGCGCTCGCCCTGCACCTTGCTTCTTCGATTTCCGGCACTGACTGCTCAAGCCCGCGACCAGCCTGGCCAGGACCTCTATCTAGTCCTTCTTCCCTCGCCCTAATCGCTGCGGAAGCGGGTCCGGTCTCGTGCGTTGCGTTCCATCGCCCACTCCTCCGGGGTGCTAGGGGGCCCGTGGAGCGCGCGGGAGTGTGCGCGCGCGTGTGTGCGTCTGGCGGAGGCGTGGGATTTGGGTGAAGGAGGCTGGAGCTTGGCTGTGACTACCCACCACGGTGGTGAGAACAGTGAAGGTTCCCCTTTCCTGTTGTAGCTCCTTTTCTCTCTGCCTTTCGCTTTGCCTGCCTCCGCTTTCACTTGAAAATGCTCCACGACTCTCAGACTCCGGGGGAGCCCGGCTCGCCCGGCTCTCAAAGGCCGGGAGCCGCGAGTGTCCCAGGCGCGCGGCGGTGGCGCCCCCTTGCGGAGCCAGCTGCTCCGCGCAAAGCGTCCTAAAATCCGGCTCCGCCTCGGAACGCACCTGCTGAACTGCGCCTTACACTTCTGGGGTCCCCGTCCTCGCTGCTTTCCACAAATGGCTTCAGTCCTCCGACGCCCCTTTGCCCCAGGTGACCTCTCCTACAGCTTGGACCGGTTCGTCTCAATTCTTTGTGCGAGTATTGTTTTTCAGGACCGAGAACTTCAGAAATATGTATGGCCTAATGTCGCAAAACTGTGAGGACCGAATGAGCTTACAAAGAAATGTGTTTCTGTTCCTTCGATCCCGTTCTGCTCACGTTCTTCATCCCTTTTGCCCGAGGGAGAGCCAGGAAGCCGAAATGGCTCAGACCCTCATCTTTGCCCCGATTGGATTCCTTTCCACAGGGAGCTGTCGATTCCCTGTGGCTTGTTCCTTAGTGCAAGTCAGGTGAACCCCGTAAATAATCCGATTCTGGAATCACAAGGGAGCCTGACCAGCCCTCTAGCTCTATTTCTATCTTTACTAATGGGAGGCAAGTGGATTGAGAGGGAACTGAGGCTTCGGTTTGCCCAACCATAGGCCCTTTACGCCTCAGACACGAGGGCAAAGCCTTAACCAGCCTAGAGTCATTGATTACAGTGTTTCGAAGGGCAAGTTTTTCTTTGGGATGGATTCCGAACAGGAATGAAAATTTCTAGAAACATCTGTTTCCTACAGCGCAGGGTTAGGTGTGAAAGAGAGTGTGAATGTTCCCGGCGGGTTTTGCTTGCTTAGTTTGGTGGGCGTGAATCCGTTTCTCGATTATTTAGGTACAAAATACCTTTCAAAAATACATAGAAGGGAAAAAGTCTCCTTTGCGTGGGTGAGAGCAAACTCCCTTTCTGATTTTGGTCAATGAGAATTGCTTCCTTCGACCTCAAAGTTATTCAGAACAGTAATTCATACCTATCAGTTTAAAAAAAATGTAAATTTAGAAACCTTATATCATGGGTAACCAATAATGGTAAATCGTCCAAAATACAGGGTTTTTTTTTTTTAATGTCTCCATTACATTTTCAGTAACATACATTTGAGCAGCCCTCTGCCGGCCGGTGGCCTTCAGAGACCCCTTGAAATTCATTGCAGTATCTTTCAAATTTCTTGGAAACATTTTATTGATTTTCTTTATGACTCACAAAATTCTTTTATGAATCTTGAGGGACTTCTGAAAATTAAAGATTTAAGCTTAGAGTCACTGCCGCGTTATATCTCTGGTGATGGACAAAGAATCAAGTGGATATCTGGCCACAAACACAGCCGGTTGAATCCTGGGGATTTGAAACTCCATCGGTTTTCATAAACTCTGCAGCTGTACTTTGACATCCCCTGGACACAGAGCGGGGGAGAGCCGAGTGACCCATCTGTCCACTGTATCATCCCTACCACGGATTCCCCTGGGCAGTCTCGGAATCTTGGACGGGGCCTGTTGGAAAAGATGGACTGACGTTGTTGTGTTGGCCACAGCAAGGCCTGGGTTGGGGTCCGTACCTACCATGGTGTGTGTGGGATTAAGTAGGACTCAGTAGTTCCCTTTCACCCTGGCTTCCTAATCCCTGGATAAACTATTGTGCCATCATTTCTAGGTTGTTGCCTTCATATTAGCATGGAGATATCCAAATCGCTAGTCCACCTGGAGACAAACCCAGTTTAAAATAAAAGCTGAAACATTTTCTGTTTGATGAGTGGATGTTCCATTGCCCGAGAACATGGGAACCATCATTCAGTCGCCTCAGTGCCTCCGCGGAAAAGGTCCCTAAATGGGGAAGCCAGCGAATAAATAGAAGTGTTTGACAGGGCAAGATTAAGAATGAAATCTTCTTCTCCTTTATTTCGGTGGATTGTGGGAATGATGTCTAACTGCTAATTAGGACAAAAAACTCGAGAACGTAGGCTGGGCAGAAAAGCACGATAAGCTTTTATCTTATGATCACAGGTCTCGTTTCTTTCTTTATTTATTTTTTTAATTTTTTTTTCAACGTTTATTTATTTTTGGGACAGAGAGAGACAGAGCATGAACGGGCGAGGCGCAGAGAGAGAGGGAGACACAGAATCGGAAACAGGCTCCAGGCTCTGAGCCATCAGCCCAGAGCCCGACGCGGGGCTCGAACTCACAGACGGTGAGATCGTGACCTGGCTGAAGTCGGACGCTTAACCGACTGTGCCACCCAGGCGCCCCAGGCCTCGTTTCTTTAATATTTGAGCCACTCGTGTGGAGAGTGAGATGGGAGAGAAGGCTTATGTTATTTAGCACACACGTCACTATTTGAGTTGACGGTAAGTACAAGTAGGGCTCACATGTGTAAGGTGGAGAAATGAACCAGAAAGCCCCTCGCACTTAGAGAAAGCTTGCTGTTCCCCAGCAACTTGCTGAGAAAACAACAAACGATATCCCACCACGGATGGCACTCATCTATACTTACCCCCATTAAGGAAAGGATCGGGGGATGCTTCACATAATAGTCGTCTACTAGGGTAGTTTTGGGTCCGGCATATTCGTCCCATTTCATATACAGGAAAAGTAAGATACAAGGAAAGGGGGGGGGGCATTTGGCCAGGTACACAAAGACTAATCAAGACCAACCAGAGCCATTTCCTCTTCTAGGAATCGTCTCATCCTGCTCCAGCAGAGATGAGGTGTATGGCAAGTGGGTAATTTGGAATTATTAGGCCATAGAAGACATTGACGTCTTGGAGAGATTTAATTGTTTTAAGCAAGGTGTGTGTACTGTTTCATCATGGGATACAAAGGGAGGATAAGGGATAAGATTTACTAATAGAACGTCGCTCCTAATTCAGAATCTTGAAGGGGTATGGTGTTGCTAAAGGTTATATACGAATAAAAAGTTCCTGGACGAGGGCGGGCTGCATGGCCCCCTCCACTGCAAAACACCGTATGCCCTGTAATCCCCATGCTTTCTGCATATGGAGTGGTGCTCTGGGATGCACCATCCACGGAAAATAGGATGTTAATGGTACCTCTGTTTATACAGATTGCAATAGATGCCATTGTCCTTCGGTTTAGGGCAAGGTACATTTATTTATTTATGCCTTATCTTATAAGGTTACCTGAAGACAGATTCCATCAATTAAAAAATGGGGAAAGGGAAGAAAAGGTAAAATGACATCTCTTAGAAACTATTAAAAAGGACGAACTGCTTGCTTCCCACAACCCGGAACAGGATTTCTCTTTAGACAAATACCTTCTGGCATCAGGAGTAGTTTGTATCCACAGCAGACGCCTCAAGTGCGGTCCTTGACCAGATGGCCCACTGCACCATGGCCTGGGGAGTCAGCTCAACCTGTTTTTGTGAAGAAAGCATCTCTTTTCTTTAACAAAGACTGGGTGATCGGCAGAGGTGTCCCGGGTGTTTTTTGTAATTCCAGTATAGTTAACATACAGTGTTATGTTGGTTTCCGGTGTGCAATATAATGATTCAGTTCTGTACATTGCTCAGTGCTCATCATGGTAAGTGTCCTCTTAATCCCCGTCATCTCTCCCCCCCCCCCACCCGCCACCTCCCCTCTGGCAACCAACAGTTTGTTCTCTATAGTTCAGAGTCTGTTTTTTTGTTCACCTCTTTTTTCTTTGTTTTGTTTCTTAAATTCTACATATGAGTGAAATCACATTTTTTTTTCTTTCCCTGACTTATTTCACTTAGCATCATACCTTCCAGATCTATCCATGTTGTTGCAAATGGTAAGATTTCATTCTTTCTTATGGCTGAGTAATATTCTATTACATATGTGTACATACATACACATGTATACCACTGTTTTCTTATCCATCCATCTATGGATGGACATTTGGGTTGGTTTCATATCTTGGCTATTGTAAATAATGCTGCAATAAACATAAGGGTACATATGTCTTTATAGCTAAGCTTAAAATCAGGAAGTGTGATGCATCCCATTTTTTCCCCCTTGGGATTACTGTGGCTATTTGGGGTCTTTTGTGGTTCCATTTAAATCGTAGGATTGTTTTTTCTACTATAAAAAATGGTGTTAGATCCTGATGGGCATTGAATCTCTAGA